GAATTTCTGAAACTAGGAGCCTAACTGAATAAATAATGTATCTAGTCTAAGGACTAATAGCTATAAAAATAAGTTATATATAAATGGATTGATCTGGAAAGATGTCCATGATAAATTAAGTCTATTATTAAGTCTAAATAAAAAAAGTCTTATAGAATATAATACAGTATGATCCAGTGTTTGGAAAGAAGTCATATACTACACATATATTATACACATTTGTATAAGCTTTGATAATTGGAAATTGACCCCCAAAATGTTACCATTGGCCCTTGCAGGAAGAGGGTTACAAGGAGGCAGAGAAGATTCTTGAAGAGGCAGGTGGTGGTTTTATAATTTTTTTTTTAAGGCCAGCCTGGGTTCCCCCCCCCCCAAACACTGCTTTCTTTCTGCAGGAGGCCACGCGCTGCCCCTGGAGTGCAGCCCCACGTCCAGCCAGAGGGCATCTCCTCCCAAGCAGCCTGCCCTGGCCCTCTACCTGCCTCCCATCCTGGCCACCCGGCCCCAGCTCCGGCCCGCCAGCAAGTGCCAAGCCAACGGGGCCTACGCACGGGAGCAGTTCAAGCCTCAAGCCACCCGTGAGAGAGTCTGTCCAGCCTCCCCACAGGCTGGCACTGGGGAGGGCGTACAGGGAGCCCAGCAGGGCATCTGTGGAGTCAGGTTCCCGTTAAGGAGTCTGATGCCAGGGTTCATTGGGTGGTCAGGGCTCAGAGGAGCCCAGTTCAGTGATACCCACTTTCCCCAACCACTCTTACTGTGCCTGACTAGCTCTCAGGTCCTCAAATTCCTCACTGTTCCCCAGGACCCTGAGCTCTCTGCACTCCTGGGTACTTCACAGAGCTGGCCCTCCCCTGCCCCACTTAGCATCAGACCCAGCAGCCCCCCAACACAGACCGTAACAGATATCACCAAAGGGCCTGGCGCCCTGATACCCCTAGCACTGCCTGGCAGCATAGCAACACGGGTTTTGACAAACTCTTTGTCATTCTCTCGACCCGTCTCCACCTGTCCTAACACCACAACCTCAAGTCCCCCCACTCATTGAGTCCACAGAAGCCTTGCCCAGGTTACCCAGGTGCCTGAAGCCAGCTCGACCAGCTGGAAGCAGAGCAGGAATGGGGCCCCCTCACCCTGTAACAATCCCATCTCTGGGCCCTACAGGAGATCTGGAGAAGGAGAAGCGAAGACTTCAGAGTATCTTTGCCACTGGGAAGGAGCCGGCAGAGCGCAAAAGAAAAACCCCTGCACACCAGGAGCCGGTCCCTGAACCAGACCGCTTCGAAGAACGTAAGCCAGTGAGGGTCCAGACCATGGTGGAGGGGAGCTGAGGGGAGGGCAGGTGGAAGGACCGGAATCCAGGGACAGGGAGTTCCCTGAGGGCCACTGACTGAGAACATCATCTGACTGCAGGACATCCCCTCTGTCCCAGAGAAGCCTCCACCACCCACCCAGTACCCCGCCCCCCACAGGAGCCCACGGCCCCCACCTCTGAGCACTGATGGCCTCTCCTCTGTCCAGTGGTGAAGGAGATCCAGGACAGAAAGGAGTTCCTGGACGCCATGGAGGCCTTGGGGCAGGGCAAACAGTACAGAGCAATCATCCTGGCTGAAATCTCCCAGGTAGGAGAGGCCACGGGGCTGTGGGGAGGGGTGCGCCCACCTCAAGGTGGGTGGAAATAAGAGGTCAGCAAGGTTTCAAGGGCTCCACTCCAGCCAGATGTCCGAGGTGGCTTCTGAAGGCCCCACTGACGCCGGCTCTCTGGTGCCCCTGCAGAAGCTCCGGGAGATGGAAGCTGTTGACCACGAGAGAAGCAAAGAGCTCAAGAGGACTCTTAGCACCACTTAATCCACCTCCAGGGCCCGGGCCCGGGTCGCCCCAACATCAACCTTCAGAGCCCACCCCTGAAAGTGGCCTTCAGCCACGCCAAAGGGGAGCACAGCACTGCCCCAGCCTGGGGTATCCTGGGCACATCCAGCACCCTAGAAAATGGGTCACATCACAGAGATCGAGTTGTCTCCTCAGACACTGCCTGGGGGTGCACTGCTGGGGCCTCCTTGCAACACAAGACTCACCCTCAGTGAGTCCCTCCTACGAGAGCGAGCCCCCCAGGTGACGGCCAGGCGGGCGGCTCACGTCCAGGACACCGTCTAAGGGCCCTCACCTCCGCCCCAGACTCCATGCATCCGGCACATCCAGGCTCCTAAACTTTGGAATAAATCCAGTTGCTTCTCTCCTCGTCTGAAGACCTACTTGGTAGACTTAAAGCCTTGAGCAAATGTTTAACCACAGTGATTAAATGGCCTATAAAACCCACTGCACAGAGGTCGTTACACGCATCTTGTTTTCAGAAGGATAAGGCGTATTTGTTCAGGGAGTTCATTTTTCAAGTACAGCTGGTTTCTGGCTATCTGTCCATGTACATCAAGAGAAATGAAGCAGGGCCTGTGGGCTCCCCAAGGCCTGGCTACAGGAGACAGTTTCTCTCACTCCATCCTCTCAATGAACTTCTTGATGGTTCAAGGTGCCCGTGAAAACTCAGCTCACCAAGATACCACGGCCAGGGGCCTCAAGATCACAGATTAGCTTTGTGACTTTCTTGCTATGTTTCTTGAAAAATCCACCAGAGGGCTCACAGGATCAGACTGAGCCACAGTTTCTAACATTTTCTCAGTTTTGTAATCTTCCTGTCCCCATAAACCATGTTTGGAAGTCCCAGTTCCCAGTCCCCTGGCCTGTCTCCTGTACCTGAAGGGACCCACGGATTCCTCTCAGGTCCCAGGACCCAGCCAGAACCAATTCGTGGCTGGCAGAATAAACAAGGCCCTGCTGCCACTGGTGAGTGGGGAGGCCCAAGCCATCTGCAGAACATTCTAGAGCCTCAGCAAGAACCCAAGGGCACACAGGCTGTGATAGGATGGTGGCAGCTGGCCTCTACTCCAAGGCCCCTCCATTTGCTGAGACAGCAAATGAGACCCCAGGAAGAATGCAGCCCACCTCAAACACAACAGATCACCTGGCCCTGCATGTCATTTCAGCTTTGTTACAAATTCCGATTTCTAGCTTCTTTTGGAAGATTGAAAGCTGTGGCAGCAGGAAGACACGCTCCCACACTACAGCTGACTGAAGCAGGAAGAACTTGCCCTGTTTTGGGGGGCACAAACACCCATTCACCACAGTCCCCAAGCCCCAGCTGGTCTGCTGGTACAGGGCTGTCCTGGCGGATGCCAGCTGTCCAGTTAAGTCTGGCCGGGCCATGTGTGTTACCTGCCTGGCCCCGGAAACCTCTGAGTTGGGACCCCTGTGCCAGGTCAGTAGGCACATTTAGAAGGAGACCCCCTCCCCAAGTCCACAGTGGAAGCCACCTCTCCCTGCAGAGGAAGAGTCCTTCCCTCCCACTGCCCCAGTGGCAGGCAGGGCCAGGGCCTCTGTGGATGGGCAGCCCCTGCCCTTCCTGGGCAAGCTGAGATACCCAGCCACTGGCCGTGGCCCAGGCCAGGGGGAGGGCAGACCCGACCGAGGGGGGAGCACCAGGGACTGGGCACCACAATGGCTGAGTCTCCCATTTCCTGTCGGTGAGGAAGAGGCCCTGGTGAGTCTTCCCCCAGAGGCCTGTGGAGGGAAGGGGCCCTAATCTTCTAATGAGGGCTGGCACATTCCCTGGGAGCGAGGGGCTTGTCCCCACCCCAGCCAAGGAGAAGAGCACGGACAACAGAGGCGCATGAGCAGATGTGAGCAGACAGAAGGTGGTCACACAGGGCGGGACCGCCATCCCTGCTGGGAGAGGAATGCTGTCAAGTGGGGGCCTGACCACAACATGTTAAAGAACCAGGAGAGCACCCACTTGAAGCACACCCTCCCTCCACTGGTGACCCAAGAACTACAGCCAACTTCCCTGAGGCACCGCCCGATGGCAAGAGGGGGCCCACTTGTCCCAGCTCAGCCCTTGCAGCCCTGCGTTGCAGCAAGTGAGGTTGCCATGAGGTGATGACCGAGGCATCTAGGTGAGCCTGCCAGCCCCTTCCCAGTGCGCAGACACCGCTCAGACCCCCGTCACCAATCCTGCTCCGTCACTAGAGCTCCCCAGTGCGGAGAAGCTGAGGCTCCAGGCTGCGCTCCTGCTCTTCTGCAGACAGGAACCCGGAGGCAAGGCCAGGCTGGAAGATGCCAGCACATCCACGTCCCACGTGCCAGCCCGTAAGAGGGCAGACCTGGGGGCAAGGCCCAGGCCACAGACCTCAGGATGAGGAGAACCTTCCAGTCGAGTCCCACGTCGTCATGGTTCAGCAGGTGCTGTCCACTCAGCGAGGCCTGGCAGGGCAGCGCGTGCAGTGACCAGTCGCCCCTCCTTCGGCCCTGTCCACTCTGGGTCACCATTACATCTACAGTTGTCAGAGGCCGGCTGGACAGCGCTGAGCCGCAGCTGCCTGGGCTCAGAGGAGATGAAGGAACATTCTTTGGCCCAGACCAGCCAGAGGACCCTGAGATGTCACCATCACCCCGAGGTTCCCTCTCTTCTCTGATTGCTCCCACCAGCGGAGCAAGTCCAGGGCTGTGCAAAGAGGGAGTGGCCAGTCCCAGCCACACCCCAGCTGTTAGCTTTTGTCCCCGAGGGACTTGCTCTTGGTGTCCCGCTTGTTCCCCAGCAGCTTCAACACCTTCATGGTCTTGAACTTCCCCTTCTTCTTGCCCTCGGACTCAGCCTCCCTCTGAAACTCTGCAGAAAAGAAAGGGGAGGGCTTAACAGAAGCGGGGTGATCAGGAGAGTCCATCCCAGGCAGGCCAAGGGACAAAGCCCTGGGACTGTCGGCCAGCAGCTCCTCATAGGAACCCGAGCCAGCCATTCACCTTCTGGGCCTCTATTTTTCCATCTGTAGAGTAGGACCATACCTACTCCCAGCGTCCTCACAAGGATCAGAGGGCAAGCAGAAGTGACGGCACCTGGGAGCTCTGCAGCTGGGCGTACGTACGTGGAGCTGGGACAGACGCCTGCTCCCCAGGCGGCCACCCCCCACTCAGTGGTTCCTGAGACCAAGACAGTGCCAACACCGAGGGCCAGTGCGGAAAGAAACCTCAGACCGTCTGCCCCAGCCTCTAATTTTACAGATGAAAAGAAATACGGTCCTTGGAAATCCAGCAGCACCAGCTATGCCCAGGCACTGGCCCAGACCCAGACAGTGTGACGTTATCACCCCACTTAGCAGCCGAGGAGGGGGGCAGGCTGGCTCATGAGCGGCAAGACCGACATCTGCCTGCAGTGTCCAGATGCCACCAAGGTCACAGAGTTCCCCCTAGAGCCAGGATCAAAACTCCAGGCTCCCAACGCTCCTAACCATCCCAGACACAGAGTACGCCCTATGAGGTCCAAGAACAGATCTCAAACGGGTGCCCAGCCGACGGCAAGCCCATCCTGAAAATGTCCCCGACAACACTGTTATTCTGAAAGTGCTGTGCATCCCATGACCACCATGGACTCCCTGGCTGTAGGCTGGCCTGTCTTCCACAGTCAACTGTTCCATCCCCGTGGGACCCCCTCCAAGCTGCTGTTTAACATGCTCCTTCGCCCTCCACAGGGCACTGGACACACAAGCTGAGGTGGGCCAGAGCCCCGGGCACTGGACACATGGGTCAAGGTTGGCCAGAGCCCCAGGCACTAGCCCTATCCCCAAGAGGGAACTTATGTTTCCTCTCAATAGTGTCACTTTTGTTTTTGAAGGCAAACACAGCAGAGACATACACAACTACAGCAGTTTCTCCAACAGTTCAAGGAGCCTACAACCTTTTTCAAGTCAGACGTCATTCTCATCTCCTTTTCTGGATAGTTCGTCCCTATAAACAAGCTCACCGCTGCCCCGAGAGTCCTGTCTACTGTTTGGAGTCACTGTTGTCAACTTGATCCCAAAAATATCTTAAAATAGCAGGATGCTCAAGGCAGCAGCTCTTCACTCGTTAAGCGGAACTACTGCTTGGTGAGAGGAGGATTTCTGGGGATATTTCTGATTTAAGGTTTCCGGGTTCTCTCAGGGCATTCGTCTCGGGGACTCACCCAGCTTTTCCCGGCTCCCGAGCTCACCTTTTTTTCTGATCATGGCTTCCAGCATCTTGTCTTCCTCTTCCTCCCTGAAACAAGGAAGGCAAGCTCAGTGGCCCACAGGAGGAAGGACAGACGGTGCCCAAGGACTCTGCAGCCCCGACTCTGTCCAGATCTGAGCAAGGCGCACTGGGACGGCTGGCAGGGCAGCCTCGTCCTGGGTGTCACCTCTCCAGTTCCTGGGAGGTGCCGGACCCACAGAATCTCTCTGGACCCAGTTCCTCCCCCCCAGGTGAAGCCCCTCCACCCCTTCGCCAGGTCACCTCTGCCGGTCTTCGTCCAGGCAGTTGATGATGGCATTGCGCTGCTCAATCAGAGTCACGAGCTCCTGCATCAGCACCTTCTCCCGGCCCCGGTCCTCCTCTGTCCAGTCCTTTTCTGCCCGGAAAGAAAACGGGGATGTGAGTGATGGACACACATACCCCCTGCTTCTCTAGGAGGCCAGGAACCACCACCTAAGTGAGCAGGTGAGCTGCAGGCCAGTACTGGACACACTGAGGTCAGAAAAGAGGGTCCCAAGCGGGGAGAACACGAGTTCTGGGGGGAGTGAAAGTCACTGTGTCAGAACTCACTGGACCACCCTCCAGAAGGTCCCTCAAGCTCAGGAACAAAAGGTCAGTCGGCCTAACACAATCCACAGTGTTCAATGTCCTACGGTGGCGTGTGGAGACTGGGATCTTTTTTTCCCCACAATTTATTATGATTTAGATCATTTTCATACCTTCGCATAATTAAGAGACTGGGATCTTAAAAGCTTTTGAGTGGCCTTCTAAGGTGTAATCTTTAGTCTCTGACATGAAACAAAGACACATGGGAACAGTTAATCCAAAAGGCTGATGAACAGACCACGTGAACCTCAGCCTCCATCGCCCTGACACAGGAAGAGCTGGAGGATTCCCAGATGCCACTACCAGCTGTTCTGGAAGGGATCACATTAGAAGGTCCTGGATACAGTGGAACAAAAATGTGGGACAGGTAAGCCACTAAGGAAGGTGGCCTGGTACCACAGTTGTATGCACACCCATGTTTATGGTTGCATTATTCAGAATAGCAAAGAGATGGAAGCAACCTAAGTGCCCGTCAACAAACAAATGGCTAGAGAAACTATGGTATATCTGCACAATGGAATACTACACAGCACTGAAAAACAATAAACTCATTATACAACATGGGGACATGAAATATCTCAGTCACAAAAGGACAAACACTGCAATACACCACTGTTACAAAGACAGGCAGACATGGGGGGGGGTTGGAGACAGAATGGCAAAGGAGTAGATAGATAATGAGCACTACAGGAGAACAGATGAGGGGAAGAACTGTCCTAAAGGAATATATAATAAGGAAATTATATGTACGACAACAATCTGAAGTAAGGGGAGGGCTGGGGCTGAGGGGAAGAATAAAATGTGCAACAATTTTAAAAAATGTATTTTAGATGTTAAAAAAAAAACAAAACCTAAAGGGGCCCTTTAGAGTAGTGAGAGAAGATCTTCACCCTGAAACCCACAGCGTCCCTTTTCAGCAGGAAGTAGCTAAGAGAATACGCCGTCCCCTTTTCCTTATGACTCAGGGTGAAGTCTCTCTCAGGGAGGAGTGATAGGGAATGGCAAAGGATACACTGACAAAGAAGATTAATCAGAACTGGCTTTGACAAGCACTGTGGCATTTGGACAAGAACACCCTGGGAGGAGGGTAGAGAGAATAGTGCAACAATGAATGAGTGGAAGCCCAAAATCTCTGTAAATGTTTATGAAAATTAATAAAATATAATTATAGAAAAAAAAAAAAACAAAACCAACCCTCAAAGTGACCTGAGGTGGAATCCCTGAGACTATCCCCTTTGGTCAAATTCAAGGCTGGAACTAAACTCACTCCTGTGGTTCAACTTTCAGCCCAAAAGTCTCTCACTGCTGTGAAGTTGAAACTGACTCCTAAGTGACCCTCCAGCAGGTTTAGGAAGTTGTAAATTATTTCAAAGAGGTTGTAAATGATTTAATCTTGAAGAGATCCACAACATCCTTGGCACCAACAGACAGGAAATCAAAAGATGAGTTGCCATTTCACCAAAGAAGACACTCAGATGGCAAACACACACATGAAGAAATGTTCAAAATCCCTAGCTCTAAGAGAAATGCAAATCAAAACAACTCTGAGATACCATCTCACCCTAGTGAGAATAGCAAAATTTAACACAACAGCAAACATCAAATGTTGGCAAGGTTATAGAGAAACTGGAACCCTTATTCACTGTTGGTGGGAGTGTAAAATGGTGCAACCACTGTGGAAGGCTGTATAGTGCTTTCTCAAAAAGTTGCAAATAGAGATACCATTTGACCCAGCAATTCCTCTAGTGGGAATTTACCCTAAAGAAACCATAACTGCCACCCAAGAAGTTATATGCACACCCATGTTTATCGCGGCTTTGTTTGCAATAGCAAAGAGTTGGAAACAACCTAAGTGTCCATCAACAAACGAATGGATAGAGAAGCTGTGGTATATTCACACAATGGAATACTATGCAGCACTGGAAAACAAGGAACCCATGAAATATTATGCAAAATGGATAACCCTGGAGGACATTACGCTGAGTGAAATATCTCAGTCACAAAAAGACAAACATTGCATAGGGCCACTGTTGTAAAACAGGACTGGCATCAGGGTTGAGGGAAGACAGAAAAGGAGGGAAGGAATTATGTATACTGCATTGAAACAGATGAGGGAGAGAACTGTTTAGAAGGGACATATGAATAAGTGTTCTTGCCATTACAGGAGTCCAGAGTGAAGGCTGCATAGTGGAATGGACTTGGGGGGAGGGACTGCATAACAATCAAAGAATTTTTTTTTTCTTTTCAAGGAGAAAAATGAATTGGGGAGCGAGGAGGGAGGGAGAAAAATGCAACAATGAGTGACTGGAAACCCTAAGTCTCTGTAAGCTTTCATTAAAATTAATTTTAAAAAATTAAAAATTAAAAAAAAAGATGAGTTGCACTGGGAAAATCTGCTGTCAGAGATCTCCCCAGAGTGCTAAAGAACAATGATGACAGTTTCTGGCCATGGTCTTCTCAGTTGCTTGCTATGCATCTGAGAACTGGACAAAGACTAAGGATGACAGAAGAAGAACCAATGTCTTTGAACTGTGGTGCTGGAAAGAGTATTGAGCATACCACGGACTGCCAAGAGAACAAGTCAGTCTGTTCTGGAGAGGATGAAACCAGTATGCTCCTTGAAGGCAAGTATTTCGAAGCTCTGTCTGACATACTCTGGGCATGTAGCCAGGAGGGACCAGTCCTTGGAGAAGGCCATCAGGCTTGTAAAGGGTAGAAGGACAGCAGAGGAGAAGACCCCGGATGAGATGGACTGACACAGTGACTTGGCAATGGGGTCAGTTAAGTCAGAGACAGTGAAGTCAGAGCCATAGTTGACTAGATGGCACATAACAACAAATAGTCCAAGAGAAGATGGCCCATCCTCCTCCCACAGACCAGCCCCCTGCCTCTGGACTGACAGCACAACTCCAAAACCACAAGGCCACCAGAGCTCCAAGCAGTAGGCAGGCCTGAGGCGGACCCAAACGCCAGGGACGTACACATTCCTTAGAACCACCGACCACACCAGACGGCAAGGGCAGCACTTAACCAGGGAGATCACTGAGGGACCAGGAAGGGACAGGGAACAGAATGGAGATGACAAGGAGAGAAGACGGAGAAGGGACAGGCGTTATGATGGACCCGGTGGCGTCATGAGGACTACAATCAGTGTCAAGAAAAAGAAAACCCTCCAGAGAGTCGTGGGAGGCGACGCAGCCCGTGTCCTGAGAACAGAGGCAGAAACGCCGAGGGTCCCATGCTCACTTGGCTGCTCATGGTTTCCAGAGGAAGCCAGGACTGACACCGGGTTCCCGAGGCGGCCATTCCACAGGACACGCTCGGCCCTTCATCCCTCCAGTGCTGGTCCAGGGTCGGGCACCCACACTCGGCCTGCCCCCCAAAGCGTGCTCCACAGGCCTCCCTGTCCCTAGCCCCCACCAATCACTACCCTCATCTCCCCATCCAGGAGCAGATGATGGCCCAGCAGAGCTCTAGTGACCACTCACCCACCTTTGTTCAAATCCCTCTCAGCCATGTCCTAAATGTGGGTAAGCTAGTGTCCTCGGTATATAGTGGGGAAACTGAGGCTGGAGAGAGGTCACTGAGTCCTGGTCCAGGGGTACACTGCCAGCAAGGGTGAAGCTAGTATCCAAACCCCAATATACCTGACCCACACACCCGCGAGGTGGCACTAGTGGTGCTTTGAGAAGGTCCTCAGAGCCTTAAATAAAGGATGAGAACCCAGGAGTTGTTGTCCTTATACAAAAGGCTGGGAAATCTTTGGGGGAAAACTGAGAGGGGATAAATGACGTATATTGCATTGAAACAGATGAGGGAGAAAACTGTTCAGGAGGAAAACATGATTCATTTTTATTGTCACGAAAAGTATTCAGAAAGAAAGCTGCATAGTGGAGTGGACTGAGGGGGGATTGTGTAACAATGAATTTGTAAAAATCTTTTTTTTTTTTAAATTTTCAAAGAGAAAAGCGAAATGGGGGGAGGGGTGGGCAGGGAGGAAAGTGTGCAACAATGAATGACTGGAAATCCAAAGTCTCTGTAAACTTTGATTAAAATAAAATAAAATTTTAAAAAAAATCCGAAAAGGCTGGGGAATCTGACAAAGTGGTCCATATGCAGCTAACAAGGACCACGCCTCTCCAAATTCAAAGCCACCAGCTGCTCAGTGGGAGAAAGACGGGCACTCTCTCGTGCAAGTTACAGCCTTGGAAAACCCACCGGAGGGGCGGTTCTGAGTCAGTTCTGACTCCACAGCAATGAATGGGGTTTACTGAGGGAGAAGCGAGCCAGAGACGCTGGGTGTGATTCCAGCTCTGCCCACAGGGTGTCAGTGTGGCCCCCACAGACGGACCCAGCCTCGTGGTGACTCACAGAAGGCCAGGACATAGCTGTGGCTTCTGCAGGGACAGTCCTGTTTCACCAGCCTCCCAAGTCCCTCTCCTGTTAATGAGAAGCAGGGCTACTGCATGAGCAAGTGGAGTGGGCTGTGACTCAGGGGCTAGCCTGACTCAGACCCCCAGCCGGGAGCCCAACTCCACCCCAGTGGCATTTCTGTCAAGCATTTTGGCCCCCAAGCTCCGCCTCTGTGAAATGGGAACTTCTGAGAGAAAGGAAAGCCACGTGGAGGTGCCATGCCCGGACCACAGGAAGTGGGCAGAAACCCTGGCTCCTGGCCCTAGACACGCCACAGCCCTGCGGTCTCACGCCACCCGCTGCTGCAGCACCCATGGTGTTCGTGCGGGGAGGTATGTAAGTCCCCACCTCAGCCACTCAGGAGGTACAGACCTGTCCATGCTCAACATTGCCTTGACCCTAGGGACACGCTACGTGGTCAGTCATAAGGTCTGAAACCACCCAGCAAGCTGACAGCAGAGACCAGGGCTGTTAGACTCCCAGTCCCCCTCCCCACTCGGCCCTGATGCCCTTTCTGTCCCTCAGTGGGGACATCCCATCGTTCTCTGACCTGCTGGCCATGAGCCCAGTGCTGCCACAGACAAGCTTCTACAGCCACCACTCATCTGCACCACCTGGGCCTGGAGTCCCCTCAGTCAGGGACCTGCCACACCTCATGTTTCAGGCCCTCCACCAGACACCCACCCCCACCACGCTGTTCACTCCCCTCCACACGCTGCTCCCTCCCCTCCTATCACCGTTACACAGCCCCTCCTGGTCACATAACCACACGCACCCCCAGGGGACTCTCCAGCCCCTCCCCAGCCCCTTCTCCGGCCCCTGGCACAGCAGCCTTCTGAGTCAGTGACTCACCCGGCTTGTTGAGGAGGCATCTCAGCTCGTACTCCACGTCGGCCTGGCGCTGCTCCAGGTTCTGCTGCTTGAAGCTAGAGGACAGAATACGCAGACATCAGCAATCACACCCACGTGGGAGGCGGCCGCACCTGGCCAAGGACAGGGGACACCAGGAAGATCCCGGTTCTGAGCTCCAGGGGTGCTGCTCCGCCCAGCCCAGGACAAGGGACACTGGGAGGATTCTGGTTCTGAGTTCCAGGGACATTGACCTGCCCGGCCAGGGCCAGGGGACACCAGGAGGATCCCAGTTCTGAGCTTCAGGCTCCAGGGGTGCTGCCCCACCCGACCCATGACAAGGGCCACTGAGAGGATCCCAGATCTGAGCTCCACGGGCCAGTCCAGTGATGAGGGACACCGGGAGGATGGATCCCAGTTCTAAGTTCTAGGGGCGCTGCCTCACCCAGCCAGGGATGGGGGACATCAGGATAATGAACCCCGGTTCTGAGCTCCAGGGGCACCCAGCCTGGGAGCGCAGGGACTCACACGTAGATCAGCTCTGACTCCCTCCGCACCAGCAAGTGCTTCTCATGAATCAGCTTGAACCAGTCAACCAGCATGTTGTCCTCATGGCCCTCTGCAAGCCAGGCACCCATTGAAGCCCGGGGCCAACCAGGCCTCCCCGGCAGAGAGGACCCCTCCACCGCCCGACCTGCAGGTCCTAGGGTCTTCATACCGTTCACCCCGCCTCGCAGCTTCTCCTCCAGCAGCACACCCCGGTGCTCCAGGGCGTCCAGCTGGCGCTCGATGGTGTCCATCTCCCCGTGGATGTCTTCCTCAGGGATGTACTGGTCAGCCTGGACCTACACGACAGCGTCCCTGTCATTGAAGGGTAGCTGAACCCTATGACACAGGCTGGCTACTACTGGGAGCTGTGCCCCTTCTCCCAGTCACCATCGGCCACCACAGGAATGGGCATCTCGGCAAGATGTGGGGAAAGGGCCGAGGGGTCCTGGCATTGGCAACCTTCCTTTCGCTGCGTGGAACTTCCTCCCTTTCTCCATCCTTCCAGAAAGGACACGGCCGCCACAGCGAGCCCGTTACAGTAAGTCGGAGAACACTCTGGTGTGACGTAGAAGCATGGCATCTGCCCTGGGGCCCTGGGACCGTGGTCAGGACAGCCACGCCTGGCTCCAGAGCCCTTCAGTCTACTTCACTTGGCCACTACCGCACGTTCTACGTACAAAGGCTTGGGCAGCTCCACGTCAGGCACATCCAAAGCCACGCTTTTACCACAAGCAGTGTTCATTTCATGTCTCATGAGTCACATCTGCTAATTTTCACAATATTTCAAAATTTCTATTCCCACTATGGCACCCTCAGGGAGCTCCAGAGGCCTAGCGGTAAGGAGTTGCACTGCCAACCCAAAGGCACATGGTTCGAATCCACCAGCTGCTCTGTGGGAGAAGGATGGACAACCTCCTCCTGTGGGATTAACTGCCTCTGGAAACCCGCTGGAGGGTCAGCTATGGATCGGTTCGGACTTGACAGCACACAAAGACAGGAACACTGCACACTTGCTGGACAGACAACACCGTGTACCTACAGCCCCTCTACACACTGAGAAGCCAGAACGTGGTGTGACTCACTTCACTACAAGAGCCACTTTATTGTGGGGGGGGGGGGTCTGGAACCAAACCCACAGGGTCTGCTGCAACAAAGTACACAAACTCCCACTGCTCTGGATCCCCTCCCCCACTGCAAAGTAAACCTGCAAGTGGACATGCAAGACCTTCAGTGGGACATCACAGGGAAGCTGTCTCTGGCCCAGATGGCCTGTCCCCTTAAAGGGCCCCACGAAATGACCGAGGTGCTCAAGTGGCTGGGCTCTGGGTGGGGCACATGGCAGATACCTTGCGCTTGATGAGCGGAAAGCCATGTCCTGGGGCAGGCGGCCGGGCTGGCTTGGAGCCCCTGGCAGCCTTCTTTGTGGTTGGGGAGGCCGAGGGCGATGCCTTGCGGTTAAAGGGGTTCTCCTTGCAGGAAGACTAAAAGGAGGCAGACAGACAGAAAAAGGATGAGCCTGGGGTGAGGGCCATGGGGACCCCAGGAACCTGATCCTGACAGGTGAGTGAGGGAGGCAGGCCTAGACCCCAGAGCAGGGGGCTTGCCTCCAAAAGGCATCCAGGCACAGATCTGCCAGCAGACAGTCAATGGACTCATTCGATAGACTTTTCTAGAACACTCCACATGTTAGTACTGCAGTGGTGCTTTCTATGTATGCTGGGAAACACCTCAAAAGTGGGTGTTGCAATACCCACTTGACAGCTAAGTACTCTCAAGGTCAGAGGGGTAAACTCAAGGTCACACACGTCCCAAGGCCTGCACTGAGGGGAAGCTATATGCTTCTGGGCTGAGGCAGCAGCCAGCACTGGGGGGCAGTGATGGACACGGTCCAGCCAAGAAGTGCAAAAAGAGGGCTCCCACTGCCATGTGGCACCGGCTCAGGGAGGAGGGGAGTCCTTAACGGCCTCTCTGTGGCCGGTTCTGCTGCTGGGCACGGCACTTGCCACATGGGCAGCACGGGTATTTTCCAACCACTTCCTGCAGCCTGTCGGAAACGGGCATCTCACAAGCCTCTGGGAACGCCCTCACTTGAGGCTGTGGCCTGTACCCCGGAGTGTCTGCCCGGCTTCCCCAGAAGTGGGGACACTGCACACATCACCTGAGGCTCAGAAAGTCTTGTAGGCCGGCAGCTGCTCTGAATAAACTCTCTGAAGGTGGGAGGTGCCAGCCCCAGTCAGGCAAGGAGGAAGAGGGTGTTCTGCCCAGAGCACCCCACCCCCTGTGCCCTGCTGTCCCCCCCCCATGCCCTGCTGTCCCCTGCCCCCACAGCCTCTGAAGACACTTTCCTCGTCTTGGGGTTGGAGTGAGGAGTGGGGGTACCTCAGAAAGAAGCTCCTTCTATACACCCACACACAGAGGAGGCTGGCAGAGTGAAGAGCCCAAGGCCCAAGGCAGGGCTGACAGCAGGGCCTACAGCCAGGGGTTCCACCAGGGGACCTTGGCCTGGCCACGAACCTCTGCTTCCCACCAAGATCACTGAGGGAGTCACAGCACAGCAAACAGTGTTTGCCCAGGAGCTGGCTGAAGTGGGGTGGGGCGTCAAGGCCGACTCCCACCTCCCACCTCCCAGGAGTCCTGGGTCTCCCCCAGAAGATAACGCGTGCTGAGACCTAGTGAGGGCGGGGCTGTCTCAAGGTCACAGCGGAGCGGCAGAGGAGGAAACAGCCCACAAGTGGCTGGAGCAGCGGGCCTGGGAAAAGTGACAAAACGTCCTTGGGAAAGCACACATTCGGCGCCTGGCACCCATGGCGAGGCCAGCCAGCCCTGAGTGCTCCTGCCACTCGATGACCAGAGGTGGGCAGGCGGGGGGCACGTCCAGGGTGCAGGGTAAAAGATGGCACGGGGGGAAGTGAACAAGAGGCCCCTCCATAAACTCTGTTGCCACCTTCCTGGTGACCCCAGGTTCTCTGCATGGAGACGGCAAATGAGTGAAATAACAGCCTGAAAGGTCAACTGTAGAGACTGAGCCCAGCAAACCTTGTCCTGAGGCGAGTAAAACCAGGGAGCCGCGAGCACACACTGTGGGCTCTGCCCTGTGAACACAGCCCCACACCCAGCAGAGCACACAGCAGAGGCTCAACAAGGGGTGCTCTCTGGGCCCCACTGCCACCAAGGGTTCACCCCACTCACAACTCAGCACGAGGTAGAGACCTGGGTAGGAGCACCTCGAGCCCACATCACAGCCAGCCCGGGCACATACTAGCTACTCAATGAATGCCAACTGCCCATTTTATAGGAGGGGAGACTGAGGCCCCAGGAGGAGTGAAACGGCCCAACAGAGGGAAGCAGTGTCACCCTGACGCCCCTGAGATTCTTATTCCACCCAGACTGCCTCATAGGACACTCATTTATGGTCCATTTGGTGGAGGAGCCCCTGGGAAGAAAATATGGGGCCTCACCACGGCTCTGCAGCGAGGGATGGCAGGTGGATGGAAGGTGGGCAGCTGACAGCCGGGAGTGGACCCCCGGGCGGAAGTGTGGATGCACTGGGATGTGGACCTGCAGGTCACTAGAGAGGCCAGGGTGCTGGGCAGGTGCACTGATGGACGGGAGGAAAGACAGCTGGATTTGTCCTTTATCGAAGCTGGAAGGGGCACTCACCTTTACCTGGAGCTGAGGGGAGGAGGTTCCAGGGGAAGGCGCAGGACTCTTGTCCCTATGCAGAAAAGGGGTGGGGACAGCCCCACTGCAGGGCTTGGCTGTCTGGAGACCCGGGCTCGCCCTGGTGTTGGTGGTGAGGCCAGAGTTGGCTGGAGGAGTCTGGTCCGTGCTGGGCTGCCCCAGCTCTCCGGAGGACGACAGGGAGGAGTCGGTAGAGAGGCTGACGGGCTTGGCGGACGTGCCGGGAGCGTGGACCACGGGCTCCGAGGAGCTCTTGGGCACAGGCGGGGGTTCCAGAAGCTCCGCACCGGCGGTCTGGTTGGAGCCCTCAGACGACAGGCTCTCCACGCTCAGGGCAGGTGACGGGGCCGACGATGGGGGCTCTGAGTGCGAGAGGCGGGAGTTGTGGAGTGCTGTATCAACGAGAAAGTGGGCACCACGTGAGGGCCTGACCAGGGCTTCCAGCCCCACCCAACAGAGCTGCACGAGAGCCTGGAAACCGACCCTCTCTGTGTCAAGATAGGGAGGCCCAGGCCATGAGAAGAGCAATCACACGATGGGAACAAGTTGTAACGTGGCTCACAGTATCCCAGCTTATCCAACAACCCTGCCCTATCTGGATGGAGAAACTGAGGCCAAGAGAGCAGAAAAGACACAGGGATTACAGTGTTCTGGTTTCTCCAGCAAAGTCAGCAGTTATGGATGGTCCTGGGCCTCCTCACCCATATTCTGCTATCTCCACTTTCCACAGTCCCACAGCCAAGCCTACCCGAAGCAAAGCTAAACTCAAAAGGTGAATCTGCGGGAGCTCTGGTGGCCTAGTGGCAAAAAGCTGCACTGCAATCCCAGAGGAGCGTGGTTCGAATCCACCAGATGCTCTGCTGGAGAAGGAGGAACAATCTCCTCCTGTACCAGTCAGATCTGATTTGATGGTACACACACACACACACACACACACACACACACACAAAATAATAAAATAAAAATTTTTAAAAAAAGCGGTGAGGGGATCATTTTCCGGCTCGTAAGCATGATGATTGGGACTTCATGCTTCCGGATGGTATGAGCCACCCTTTAAACTTTGTTACAAAACAGGCACACGACCCGTCTGATGTGAAAAAAAAAAAAGAGGTGAGGAGACCCGGACAACAGAGACCTCATGAGGAAAGGGAGGGGAGCCCCTGGACTCCAAACACCTCCCTTACCTGCCGCTGCCTGGACTAGCTTGAGAGCCTCAGACCACCACCCTAGGGGACCTTGATGGCTCCCTTGTCCTCTGGGCCTCAGGGAAGTGGGAGCTGAGTGTCACGTCCCCTGAGCCCCTGTGACTTTGGTGAGCCCAGGTGGCTTTCTGCCCTCCCAGGTATCTTCGTCATGGGCTCCAGAGAGGGAGGCATAAGAACAATGGATCTGGAAGGCTGGCCTCCCTCACCGAAAACGCTTTGTTGGAGGGTCTGCCCATTCAGGACCATTCCACTCTGCATCACATGCTTCGAGGTACTGTCACTGGCCTCGGCCACTTTGACCCTGAGATGAGAGCAACTAGACAGTGCCCAGCTTCACTCAGGAAAGATTTATAGTAAGGTGTCAGAATCAAAGGGGGGGAAATTGTGGAACAAGACTCAAAATCCTTAAAAAGAGCAGGTTATTCTCTAACAAATGGTGCTAGCAAAACTGGACTTCGATTTGCAGAAAACTGACACGAGATCCTTATATGTTATCATACACAAATCAAGGCCCCTGACATAAATCCTCAAATGATCAAGTCTAGCAAACAAAGAACTGGGGGAAGTCCCTTTGGGGATGTAACTTTCTAATAAATCTATTCTTATTTTACCCTCAAAAAAAACACCCATAAAACTGGGGGAAACTTGACATATCATCTCAACCCAGTAAGAATAGTAAATTTTAACAACAACAAATGGCAAATGCTAGTGAGGTTGTGGAGAAACTGCAACCCTTATTCACTGTCGGTGCGAGTGTAAAATGGTGCAACCATTGTGGAAGGCAGTATGGCGCTTTCTCAAAAAGTTGCAAATAGAGATACCATTTGACCCCGCAATACCACTACTGGGAATATACCCAGAAGAGACCATAACTGACATCCAAGCAGATATATGCACACCCATGTTTATTGCAGCTTTGTTCACAATAGCAAAAGGAGTTGGAAACAACCTAAGTGCCCATCAACAAACGAATGGCTAGAGAAGCTGTGGTATATTCGCACAATGGAATACTATGCTGCATTAAAAAACAAGGAACGCATGCAATATTATTCAAAATGGTTGACTCTGGAGAACATTATGCTGAGTGAAATGTCCCAGTCACAAAGGGACAAATATTGCATGGTGCCACTGTTGTAGAATGGGACTAACATCAGGGTTGGGGGGAGACTGGGAAAGATGAGATAAAGAAACAGATGAGGGAGAGAACTGTTTAAAAGGGATATATGATTAGGTATTATTGTCATGACAGGAGTCCAGAATGAAGGCTGCATAGTGGAGTGGACCTGGGGATAGGGACTGTATAACAATAAAAGAATTTTTCTTTTATTTTTCAAAGAGAAGAGTGAATTGGGGGAGGGGTGGGCAGGGAGAAAAGTGCAACAATGAATGAATGGAAATTTAAAAAAAAAAAAGATGGGGGAAACTTAGAAGTCCCAGTTTATGTCAAAGACTATCAAATGTAACTGAAAATTCACAACCAGCAAAAGATAAAACAGACAATTAAGACCTCTCGAAAATTAACTCTTTAAAAGAATGAAAAGAAAGCCCACTGACTGGGAAAGAGAGTTGTAACCGCTGGGCTGCAATAACATGTTTGACAAGCAGTATCTTAACAGGAAAAAGCCAATGCAGTTACAAAATGACAGAGGACATGAATAGACTTAAGACATTCACTGATAACCCAATTACAAAATGGGCAAAAGACACGGAAACACTTCACAGAGGAAGACATTCAGATGGCCAACATGGAGAAATGCTCAAAATCCCTGGCAATAAGAGAGATGCAAAGCAAAACCACAATGAGATACCAACTCACCTCAGCAGCAGTGGCAAAGTTTAACAAGGCAGCAAGCATTAAATGTTGGAGAGGATGTGGAGAGGTGGGAACTCCCATGCACTGTTGGTACGACTGTAAAATGGTACAACCACTCTAGAAAGCAGTTTGGTGTTTCCTCAAAAAGTTGAACACAGACACTGCGAATGACCCAAATATTTTACTACTAGGAATATACCCCAAGGAAATTAGAACTGAGACACAAATGGAGATTTGTACACCAGTGTTCACAGCAGTGTTATTCACAACCACAGGAACACTGAAACAGCCCAAATACCTAACAACAACTGATTGGATTGATAAATTGTGGTACGTTCACATGATGGAATACTACGTAGCACTCAGGAGCAACGATTTCAAAGAATAATACATAGCTTAGGAGAGATTGGAGAGTGTTATGCTGAGTGAACTAATTCAGCCTCATAAGGACAAATACTGCATAAACCATTATTGTAAAAATAGAAGGATAACTAGTAAAATGTGTACGGGGATCCAAGACAGGAAAGGGTGGGAGCAGAGAGGTGAGGAGGGACAGGGGCAAAATAACAGGGTTGCACAATTTGGTTGAGGGAGGGATGGAGTAAAAAAAAAGGGAAAGATCTAATGAGAACCTAAAAAGACTGAGTAATGGTAGGCATAGTCCAATGTGATTAATTTTCTAAATTTCAATGTATAGGAATTAAAAAAGAAAACAACAACAACAACAAAAAAAACCCACCCCTACCACAAATACCCACAAAGTATGGGAGTGAAACATAACTGTCAATTAAGGAAAGTATGTGAGTGTGTGTGTGTAAAAATCTCCATAATAAAAAAAAGGGGGGGGGGAGAAGACATTCAGATGGGCAGCTATCAGAGAGATGCAAATCAAAACAATGAGATAACATCTCACCCCAATACAATAGCAAAACTTCGCCAGAGCCAGGAACAAATGGTGGCTAGAGTATGACATGATTAGAACTTTCATACACTGCTGATGGGAAATAAAAGGTGCAATCACTGTGGAAAGCAATCTGACAATTCCTCAGAAAGTTGAAAATAGAAATACAATTTGACCCAGCAATTATATATACGTATGTTGTTGTCGTTATGTGCCGTCGAGTCGCCTGTGACTCATAGCGACCCTATGTACAACAGCCCTAAACTCCGCTCTGTCCTGTGCCAATCGCATTGTCTCTGACACTCCCATCCCAATTATCCCAGTCACTGAATCAGTCCACCTCATAGAGGGCCTTCCTCTCCTGCGCTGTCCCTCCACCCTCCCAAGCATGATGTCCCTCTCCAAGGACCGGTCTCTCCTCACAACATGTCCAAAGTATGTTAGACGGAGCCTCAGAATCCTTGCCTCCAAGGAGCCACCCGGTTTAACCCTTTTCAGGACGAATCTGTTTGTTTTCCTAGCAGTCCATGGTGTTCTCAATACTCTTCTCCAGCACCACAGCTCAAAGGCATCAATTCTCCTTCTGTCCTCCTTGGTCATTGTCCAACTCTCTGATGCATAACAAGTGATTGGGAAGACCAAGGCCTGTATCAGATGCACCTTAGTCTCCAGAGAGACACCATTGCTCTTCAGTACTTTGGAGAGGTCCCTAACAGCAGACTCTCCCATGGCAATGCGCCTTTATATATACCTAATACCCATTATTAGGTATATGTCCCAAAGAAATATAAGCTGCAACAGGAACAAATACATATACACCTCCATTTGCCAATCTTAATTCACCTGGGATAGACTCAAGGTCATATTCTGGTTCCTGTGGACTAGTTTTCGTTTTCTTCAGCTTCAAGTCAAATTTGCACATGAGTAACTGATAGCCTATTCCACAATCGGCACCTGGTCTGGTTTTGACTGCTGACACTGTGCTTTTTCTTTCTTTTTCCTTTTTTTATACCCAATTCAGTACATCTTTTATTTCTTTTTTTTTTTATTTTCCTTTTTTTATACCCAATTCAGTACATCTTTTATTTCTTTTTTTTTTTATTTCTTTATTTTTCATTTCAATGAACATCTACAGAGATTTTGGAATTCCATTCATTCATTGTTGCACCCCTCTCCCCGCCTCCCCCCCCATACTGTGCTTTTTCAATGATTATTTTGCAAATATAGTCAATCTGATTCCTGTGCAATCCGTCAGGTGACGTCTATGTGTTAAAGGATCAGAGGGAGACTCATCAGTAACCTGTGTTATGCAGATGACACACCCTTGCTTGCTGAAAGCGAGGAGGATATGAAAGGCTGGCTGCAGAAGATAAGGACTACAGCCTTTGGTATGGACTGCATCTCAACATCAAGAAAACAAAGGTCCTTACCACAGAACCAACAGGCAACATTATGATAGATACAGAAAGGTTTGAAGCTATCAATGATGTGATCTTGGATCCACAATCAATACCTTTGGTACCACCAGTGAGGAAATTATGAGACCTATTATACTGGAAAAGTGAGAGATAACGCCAAAATGCTGAAGAGCAATGATATCAGTTTGAAGACTAAGGTGTACCTGCTCCAGGCCATGGTACGTCTTGGAAAAAGTGCAGCCAGAGTGCTACTTGGAGGTAAAGATGATGAAGCTTCATCTTTCATATTTTAGACATGATGCTGGGCAAGGCTATTCCTTGGAAAGGGACTTCATTCTTGGAAAACTGGCAGATCTGTGATGGAGAGGAAGACCCCCAACATGATGGACTGACAGGTTGACTTCAGCAACGGGATCTAGAGTGTCAGAGATGTCAAATGACAGATAGGCCTCTAAGGTGACAGGAACACCCCGGAGGTAGACAGTCCTTAAACTAATCAACCAGAGGAAACCAAAAGGGCAGAATCCACCCCAGGATAAAGCTCAGAAGCAGAAAGGACTGGGAAAGAAGGATGAATGGAAATGGGATACACAGGGAGGCAAAGGGTAGGATGCTGTGACACTGTGGGGATTGCCAATGATGTCATAAAACAAATGGGGAGGAAATTATTTTTTTAAAAAAAATGGATATGAGTGGAGAACAAATCTGCTCTGTAAAATTTCACCAAACTTGTAATAAAAAGTTAAGAATAAAATAAAAAGATGGTGTCTGGTATTTTCCAGAAGAAACAGCAGACTGAGGAAGGAGCTCGTGTGTGTCCACTGCACGCTGTACCCACCAACGTCCTCCAAACATGGCTCGAGTGTCCCAGGGACCCAGCTCGGACAGAAGGGGGTCCCCAGACCACCTGGGCACCTGTGATGATCATCATTAACGTGTTCTCCGTCATTGTCTAAGGAGGCCCCACTGAGATCCTGGAGTGGCCAGACGCCAGCCACAGAGACTGAGAGGACAAGGAGAAGGTGGCAGGTAAACACTCATGACCTGCTTGGGCAATGGGGGGACACGCTGGCCAGACGTGAGGCCCAGCACACCATTTTACAGATGAGAAGACCGAGGGCAAACTCAGGGATGGAACTGCTCCAGGTCACTATCCTCAATTCACACAAATCTACTATCCTCAATTCACACAAATCCACCTCCGGGGCCATGTGACCAGGAACTCCTTGGAGGCAAGCAGGGTGAAACTTCGCCTCACAGACTCTGAGCCCGTGTTAAGTGGGGACCAGGAAAAGAAAGGCCCTTTGAAAGAGAGGAAGACCTTGAAGGAGATGGACTGACAGTGACTCTTAACAATGGGCTCACGTGTGCTGGAGATGTAGGGTGTGCCAGACAGTGAGGGTGGGCTGGATAGGACACGGCTCAGGTCTGCTGTTTAGCCGGTCGCTGTCAGGGGTCACGGGACCTGACAACAAACAGAGATGGCTCCGCAGGGCTTTCTGCGCCCAGCCTGGCTACGCACTGCACCAAACATCCCCTTCTCTCAACGGCCCAGGGAGCTATGTCCTGACGCGTAAATCCTGCCTCTACTGCTAGACATCTACGTGTTTCTTCACCTGCAAAATGGGGGTAGTGACAGCGAGTGTAAAGGTTTGTTCTAGGTGTAAGTGGATAATTCTAGGATTAAGGATACACACATGTGAACCACATATATTTAGGAATATATACACGCATAACACGTGACACCTGGCCAGGAAAGGCCCTGCGCCATCACACCCACTCTCCAGGCCCTGTGCTGACTGACCCCTATGCTACACCCTGGGTCCCAACGGGCACTCACCGAGCGGAGATGTACTGGGCACTCGGGGGGCCGGCCGCTTCTTCGTCTTGGGGCTGCTGGTTGGGGTGATCCCATACCAGGGGTGCAGGGTCTTGGGTGTGGACTCTTGGGGGGCCAGGGGAGGGCTGGTGGCCGGGCCAGGTGCAGGCAGGGTCTCCTCCCCCTCCTCTTCTTCCTCCTCAAAGGGGTTATAAGGCTTGGGCTCCAGGCTGACAGCCAGATTCCGGGGGGCCACCTCCTCCACGCTGCCATTCTCCACCTGCTTGGGGCTCAGGGGCTCAGGGCTACTGCTCGGTGGGAGCGGGGCTGGCTTCTTCTTGGGCTCTGCTTGCACTAGTGTGATCCATGGGGGGTCCTTCCTCGGGGCCGGTGTCCTGGAAGGAGGAAGAGGAAGCAGAAAACAGAGTGAGGGGTGAGGATGCGGCATGCTTCTCTCTCTGGACACTTCTGAGTTGCCTGCAAAGTCACCCCTTTGAGGAACTGTCCCCTTCCCATCTCCCTGTTCACACCCAGTGGGGCCACTCTGTGCCCTTCATATTCCAGCTCAGCCCCTTAAAGATGAATCTTGGGGAAGCACCACCCTACACGAGACGAAGGGAGGTAACCAGCTTCATTATTTTTCAATTTCTCCATCCATTAAATGGGCGCAGTAACAGCACCCACCTCACAGCACTGTTGTAACGAGTCAACAAGAACACACAACACACTGGGCACAGTGCCTCCTAGCACACAGTAAGTGCTCAATAAATGTCACCTGCCACTGCAGCTGGGTCCACTTCTCTCCCCTGGTGATCGTATTAGGGATACACAGATCCCGAAGGACAATTGCACAGGGCTGTCCTCTCTGTGCGGTAGAGCTGGGGCAGAGGGACTAAGGGTCAGGTATGGCAGCTGAGCCTCTGGGTATTTCTGTTCTCCACAGCCAACTCCTTATAACCACTGAGTGAAGGAGGCCCACAGGCTCCTGTTTAATAACTGACACCAAGGCTTGTGGAGATGAATGAGTTTAAAGCGAGCTTCTCCCCTGGGTTCTGCAGCCTCAGGTGCTGGGACGAGGGGAGAGGCAGGAGGCTGTGGGATCCCAGGGTGAGCCCCCAGAGATCAGGCTCCTCTGGGCCTGGCCTGCCTAACCCAAGGAGGTGTCTAGGTGGGTCATTGGCCCCCAGAACCTTTCTCCCAGGCCCACAGTTCACACAATTCCCACCAGTCTCCCAAGCAGAAGGCTCTCAGATTGCAGCCTACCTCTCTGACAACTTGGGCGTCCCTCTTGGCTTGGGGATAGGCGGTGGCTCATGCAGCCTTCCTAGATGGGAAAGGAGGGTAAAATAGGCCTTCATGGGCAGCTGGGCACTGGCGAGATGAGAGGGGCAGTCAGGGGAGCCAGCCAGACCCAGCCTCGCCAAGGAGTGCCCTTTGTTCTCATGGGAAGGTCTGGACACCCTCCTGGCACCACGCCCCCAGCACTGGGGAGATTAGATAAGCTTAAAGATATGTACCAGGGCAGAGAACAGCCAAGGTCAATGACAGGCTGCTGGAGACCCTAGTTGGCAAAGGGAACCCAAGGGCCCCCAGTGTCTCAATTCATTTCAGGGGTCACCTCCCACTGGAAGTCCCCCTCCCTTCAAATCCCCAAACAGCCTCTGCTTCCCTCCATCTGCATAGGTTCCGCACTGGGCTGAAATCTCCATGTGGGTGCCTGGACACCTGGAGATGGACAGTAGCCTGAGGGGACCAGGACTGAGCAGAAACGGGGACCCTGGCCTCTCTGCGTGCTGACTGAACAGAGACAACGGTCTGGTGCAGGTCTCGGGAGTGGGGGGACCCTTGAAGACTCTCCCCCAGCCCTTCAACACCTTCTCTAACAGAAATGCTATATTCTTCCCACCCGTCTCCAATACAAGAAACCGTCGGTTCCGTGAGCTCTCAGAAGTCCAGTGAGCTCACCTAGGAAGGTCCTTGGACAAGGGGACAGAGGGGCGTGGGCCTGCAGATTAGGGCGGTCTCCTGATGGGGGCCATAGCCTCCCCTCCCCCAGTCCACCCTCTCTCTGACCAGACAAGGAGGAGCACACAGGCTGGGGTGTGGGAGGCTCCCTGGACTGTGTGCATGGACTGGCCAGGACTCAGGCCAACACTGATCTGTCCAGAGCACCAGAGACACAGGCGGACACACAGGGACACATGGGCGTGCACACAGGATGCTCTGATCTGCAACTGTTGTGTCTGAGTTGTTCTCAGCACCTGGAATAAGGCCTTGGTGGTGCAGAGGGAGAAGTCGTGGCCCCCGTGGGGGGAGACCCAAGGCCAATTCCCCTCACGTGTAGCCACCACCCATCTGTCAGTGGAGGCCTACTTGTTGCTATGACGCCAAACAGGTTTCAGGGGCACTTAGGAACTAGGAGAGACCAGGAAGAAAGGCCTGGCAGCGGACTGCTGTGAATCAACCAGTGAAAACTCAACAACGGATCACAAGAGCCCAGTGATGGAGCCGGGGCAGGGCTGGGCGGCACCTTGATTCACCGTGCGTCAACTCAGGGGCAGCTGAGAACAGCACAGGCCTGGCACACAGGCACACTCGGCCGGTGTGTGTTGTGAGAATCAATAACCTCAGAGAGGCCAGAAATCCCTGGGCTCCATGGCATTTTCAGTGGCTGGCTCTTCAGAAGCACAGTCCAGGCCTTTCTTCTGAGGCACTTTAGAGTGGACTCGAACCACCAACCATATGATTGGATCAACCACTTACACCACGCAGGCAATAAGAGTAGCCTCAGGACGACCCCCAGAAGCACACAGACTCCCGTAGACAGAGAACCTCCACCGAGCACCGCCCCCACCGGACCCCAGCTCACCGTTCACGAGCCCACTGCTGCCTCCCGGCTCCACCGGGTTCTCATGCTGCAGACTGGACCGGGGCCGGGGCGTGGGGGGCGTCAGGACCGCACCCTCGGATGTCCTTCTGGGGGCAGGAGTGGGACGGTTGACCGGAGGGCTGGCCAGCCCCTGGGGTTTGGTGGGAAGGCGAGGCTTGGTGGGTATCTGGGGCCGGGCCTCAGAGCTGGCCTTGGGCCCATCAGCAACGGCTGCATCCGCCACACAAGGGCCTGAGTGGCCTTCCTCAACATCTTTGGCTGCTTCTGGTTGTTGGGGTGGGTGCTGCTGTTTGGACTGTGTGAGGGGCACAGGCCGGGTCCCTGCCCGCGTCCCCGGGCCCAGCCGGGGGCACCGCTCCGCGCACACGAAGGTGCCCTCCTCGGGCCCGCTCCTGTAGGCCCCAGGGACCAGGGTGCTGGAGCACTGGCGACACCTGTGGGGGGACAGGGCAGATGGGGACGTGGCTCCACTCAGCCAGGCACCACCTACCCACCACAGCCCATCCAGAAAGTTCCTTCCCCTCCAACCACTACCCTAGATCTGCCCCAACTCCCCGGACTTCTCAGAGGGGCCAGACAGACACACACCCATGCAAGCGGTGACCGTTAGAATCACGAGAGAGCGAAATCAGGAACATCGGTTGTGAAATACAAATTCTGTCTGCGCAGCCCGAGGAGGCACGGTTCGTGTCCCGGAGCAGTGTCCAGGGTGCGGGGCGTCACCCACGTGTGTTCAGAGCCAACCAAACACTTCTGTTGACTCCCACCCAATCACCTGCACCAGCTGAGAACTCCTAAGAGCATGGTGCTGCCGCTGTCATTGTCGTGTGGGGTTTAGGTCAGAACCAACTCAGAGCTGAGCCTCCGGTGGGTTTCCAGAGGCAGTAAATCTCACAGGAGAAGACTGCCCATCCTTCTCCTAGTGGATTCAAACCATGCCCGTTGGGACTGGCAGTACAACTCCTTACCCCTAAGCCACCAGAACTCCCTCTATATACATACATTAAAACCTCACTTCTATGAGTTGATTCTAACTCACAGTAGCCCTGCAGACATAGCAGAACTGCCCCTTAGCATTTACAGAAGCAGATGGCTGTATCATTCTCCTAAAAAGCAGCTTCTGGATTTGAACTGCCAATCTCTTGGTTAGCAGTCAAGGACTTAATCACTGCACCAGGACTCCTTAATTTATCATCAGGTTATTCTCCTGAAAGAGCTCGGAAGCAGTAGCAGCTCTGAGCCCTCACTCCCAAATCTCTGAGTGGCTGAGTGCGGCTTTTCGTCTCACTAAGCCTCAGTTTGTTCATCGGTGAAATGGAGCTGAAACATGACAACAGCAGACTTGCCCCCGGCTCCTTGGAGCCACTCACCTGAAGCAATGCCGGTGGTAAAGCTTGCCATCGGCCAGGTACCTCTGCACCAAGTGCACGTGCTGCTGGCAGGCGGCACATGTGCTGCTGGGGGTCCGGTGGGTGCCCTGCTCCGACAGGCTGTCTGAGGGGAGCTCCTCGCCCTACAGGAAATGGGGAGGGCAAATCAGGAAACACAGCCATTAACCAACCCTGTCCGGAGACATCCCTGTTCCCATGACCTGAAACCAGAGCTAGACAGTGCCACCAGCGACCACCCTAAAGGGCCAGAGTGGGGGACATGTGGAACAAAACTCAGACACGGGGGGAAGGCTGGGCAGGGAGAAAAGTGCAACAATGAATAATGGAAATCCAAAATCTCTGTAAATGTTCACTAAAATTATTAAAATTAAAAAAATTTAAGAAAAAATAAACTCAGACACATACACACCCATGTTTATCGCAGCTTTGTTCACAATAGCAAGGAGTTGGAAACAACCTAAGAGCCCATCAACAAACAAATGGATAGAGAAGCTGTGGTATATTCACATAATGGAATACTACGCTGCATTGAAAAACAAGGAACTCATGAAATATTATTCAAAATGGGTGACCCTGGAGGACATTATGCTGAGTGAAGTATCTCAGTCACAAAAGGACAAATACTGCATAGTGCCACTGTTGTAAAACAGGACTGACATCGGGGTTGGAGGGAGACTGAGAAAGATTGGTTCAGTAATGTATACTGCACTGAAACTGATGAAGGAGAAAACTGTTTAAAAGGGATATGTGATTAGGTATTATTGTCATGACAGGAGTCCAGAATGAAGGCTGCATAGTGGAGTGGACCTGGGGGGAGGGATTGTAAAATAATGAAAGAATTTTTCTTTTACTTTTCAAAGAGAAGAGAGTACTGGGAGGGGGGGGAAGGGGTAGGCAGGGAAAAAATTGCAACAATGAATGAATGGAAATTCAAAGTCTCTGTAAATTTTCATTTAAATTATTAATAATAAAAAAATACATAGTAACTACAAAACAAAACAACAAAAAAAACCCATCAGACACATAACAAAGCCAGGATTTCCATTCTGACAGAGACTGGCAGAACCCCGAGACTACATGCCTTACTCAGGCTTTGGACCTGAAACAAAACTCATGATTCTGCCAAACAAGAAACAAGCCTACAGGTCAACCAGTAAGTCACACCACTAGAGAGTCACGCACATTTTATAATAGCCACCTTGTAGCGTAAAGGGAGAGACATGTGACCCAGGAGAAAGCCCAGAGGCAGGAAGGAGGAGACTAGAAGGACTAATGGAAATGAGAGCTATAGGGAGGGAGTGGGAAGAGTGTGCTCCATTGTGCACATTATAATGAAAATTATAAAACACAATGTTGAATGAAGCACCAATTAACTCTGTAAATGTACACTCAAAGGATACTTTACAAAAGAAAAAGAACATTTCCTGTCAATGATTAAATTATGGCTTCCCAAAACATGTGTCAAGTTGGCAAGGTCATAGGTTTCAGTATAGTGTAATTGTCCTGTATGTTGGATCCTAACCTCTTGATGCTAAAAAGGCAAGATTAGAGGCAGTTATGTCATGATGTAATCATCCCCTAGACATGATCTGAGAAGTAATCAATTAGTTGGGAGGGGACTGGGGTGAGACTGTTGTTGTTGTTGTTAGGTGCCATCAAATCAAGTACAACTCACAGGGACTCTATGAACAGGAGAACTGAACCCTGTCTTCTCCTGTGCTCCCTTCATCATCTCTGATACACTTGAGCCCATTGCTATAGTCACTGCGTCAATGTATCTGGTTGACAGTCTTCCTCTCCTTTTCTGACCCTTCACCTCTCCAAGAATGATGTCCACTTCCAAGGAATAGCCTCTCCTAACATGTCCAAAGTATGTGAGAACAGTGTGATTACACAGTGGGCATTATAATTAATTTTAGAAATAAAACGTGAACAGATGGTTGAATGGGAAACCAATTCGCTTTGTAAACTTTCCCTGGGGTGGGTGGGATGCATCACCCGTCATGAAGTCACAACCTTGATCTGATGAAAGGGGTGTGGCCTCTATCACCTTTGTCTTATGAGAAATCAAGGAAAGAGAAGCAAGTACAAAGGGAGAACTTCAGCATCAACAGGAAAGATGACCAGGAGAGCAGCACATCCTGTGGACCAATGACTCTGTTCTAGAAAGTTCCTTGGCACAAGGGAAGGCCAAGAGATATGGAGAGCTCTCCAAAGACCACAAGCCCACAGATGCAGAAGCAGACAAGGACCTTCCTCCAGAACAGAGAAAAAGCCTTCCCTGTGAGCCGGCACCCTAAATTTGGACTTCTAGCCTCTTAAATTGCAAGAGAATCGATTTTTCTGTTCCAGCCACCACTTTGGTATCTCTACCAGAGCAGCACAGAGTAGAGAGCCCCCTTCTTCCTCCAAAGAAGACTTCATGATGCTAAGACGGATCAATCAGGCAGTTCTGCCCTATAAAGCTGCAACAAATGGAATTAGCAAACACTGATCTGGGGAGATACAGGGCCAGCTTCCCACAAGCCTCTTTCCACAACATGCTTGATCATGGTTCGAATCCACCAGATGCTCTGCCGGGGAAGGAGGGACAATCTCCTCCTGTACCAGTCAGATCTGATTTGACGGTACACTCACACAAAAATAATAAAATAAAATAAAATAAAAATTTAAAAAATGCTTGATAACCGATCAATACTTAACTTTGTCTTAAGTGTCTTTCTTCTTAAACATACTGCCTTTGCGTGTATTCCAACTCACAGCAGTCCTACAGGACTGAGAGCACCCCACCTGCCTCATCGGGTTGCCTTCCCGGTGACCTCGCATAGGAGCGGGAGTTACTGGGTCTTTTCTCCCATGGAACAGTCAGGGGATTCAAACCACGGACCTTTGGGTTAGCAGCCGAACGATTCACCATCACACTACTCAGGCCTTTTGTTTCTGTTTAAAGACATGCTGCTAATCCAAAGGCTGCACCTCTCTGACCACTCAGAGCCACCAGCAGCTCAGAGAGAGAAAAACGGGCAATCTCCTCCCGTGCAATTCACAGCCTTGCAAGCCTAGTGGAAGGTCTCCACGCCAGCAAGCCTGAACTGCCAGCATGCACTGTAGATTCACTAACACTGAACTCACAAGCAAGACTTCTGACCCTCAATCCTGAATAACAGCCATCTAACACATGCATTTTCTCCACATCACGGCCTCGCTGCTCAAGAACACAAGACAGCCTTCAGTAACTATGCTGGTGTGTCATTTTGAACAGCAAAATCACCAACAAAAACAAAAATGCAAAAAGTTTGGCACTGAGCAATGATTGAGGAAACTACTACCTACCTTGGGAGAGACTGGAGTGCATTATGCTAAGTGAACTAACTCAGACTGATAGGGACAAGTACTGTACAAGACCATTATTATAGAAATAGAAATATAACTAGTAAAATGGGTGTGAAGATCCAAGAGGGGGAGAGTGGGAGCAGAGGTCTAAGGGTAGGCAGGGGGGTAATCATAGGGTCGCACAATTTGATGGGTAGGAGGAGGTAAAAGGCACTGGGAAAGATCCAGTGTGAAAAACAATGTATACAAACTTTGTAAGAAAACCAGTATTTAAAAAATCTTTTCTAAGCATGAAAAAAGAAAAAGCTTGGCACTAGATGCTTATTGTTGACACTACATGTTTACAGCAGTTATTAAATCAGTAAGGCAGAGCATTCAAATTTTTGCCACTTTGCATGCTCACGATTGACCCCAAAGGCCCACAAGTAATGATTCTGGGGTCACAATATGGTTTTTTAGGAGTCCTAGTGGTGCAGTGGAGCTCTGGTGGCCTACTCGGTAGGGAATTGTACTGCAGACCCAAAGGTAACTGGTTCGAAACCACCAGCTGCTCCACGGGATTCAGAAAGGCAATCCCCTCTCAAGCAATTACCGCCTCTGAAAACCTGCTGAAGGGTCAGCCAGGAGTTGATTTCTGACTCCATCACACAATGAGTTTAAAGGTTTTTTTTAGTGGTACAATGGTTAAATGCTTGATTACTAACTCAAAGGCTGGTGGTTCAGACCCGCATCAGCTTGATGGGGGAAATGACCTGACAGTCAGCTCCCACAGAGACATCAGCTTAGGAAACTGCATGGGAACAGTCTACTCTGTCCAACAGTCACTACAATTCCACGGCACGCGATGAGGAATTTTAGCAAAGGGTGAATTCACAAAGGAAGATCCCACAGAGAATTATCCACAATGTCAATGGTCTCTGGAGAGGGCAGAGGAAAGGAGACTGTCATTGATTTACAAACAAAGAAACTGAGGCCCCAAGAGAGGAAGAGAGGCTCAAGGTGACCGGGCCAGGCTGGAAGCACACAGTCCTGACTTCCCGTCGCTGAGGGCCCCTCCCCTCGGCCCTCTCTGGTGGCCATGGGTCCTTGGCTCTGCGTGTGGTCCTCCCCTCCTCCAGCCGGGGCTGGTTCACATCACTTCTCTACTTCTAAGCACTGTGACCTCCAGCAAGCCGTTCACACTTCGGGGCTCAGTCCTTGCCGACCTCGGCCACAGGCATTGCAGGGGCGCCCACTCGGGGTCTGGCTCACAGCCATCCTGAACCCCTCCAGCAAGCAGCACATGCCCCTCATAAACTCTGAAGTGCCATCCAGATATGAGGGGCTGGTGGCACCAGCTCTAAGCTCCTTGGACTTGGTGTTGGGCAGGAGCTTGGCTTGACCCCACTGCCCGTCTGAGCCTCCTTGGATGAATGATCAAACCTCTCAGACCCTCAGCCTCCTTATCTGCATATCAGGGCCCATAATCAAACTTTTCAGGCCTCCAAAAGAAGGAAATAAAATTGAGGAAATTCAACTTCAGCAGAGAGACTCCAGGCTTAGAACAATCCCATAATGACTAAGTAGGACCATGACCACCTCCTGGCCCTTCCTGGGCCTGGTGTCATCTGACCCCACCCTGAGCCCTGGAGAAAGACACAGGACACACAGACATGGGCCTGACATGGGCCCTCCATCTCTGGGGGCCCCTGAGAACTATATTTCTAAAGCCCATGGGGTCTTGCACACAACAGGATCTCGGTCACTGTACTGACAGCTGTAACAATCGACCCTCCCCAGTGCCCACCCACCCTCCCCAGCACCCACTGGCCCTCCACCTCTACCTGGGTTGAGTCTCCTGGCTCCACAGGGGTGGCTGCTTCAGCAGGTGGGGAGGAGGGCGCCAGGCCCCTTCCAGGTGGTGACACACCAGCTGCCAAGAGATAGGAGAGAGGCCCTGAGGCAGGTGGAGACCCCGTCCCAGGCGGCCTGGCCGTGCCCTTCCCCCACCCTGGGTGGGAGGTCTGAGTCACTGCCCTTGTGAGCAGGAGGCCCTGTGAGGTGAGTCAGGAGCAGGGTTTGCCTTAGCGAGACTAGGAGCTCCTCCCAGGAGAGCAAAGCTGCTACAGCACAGGGACAAGGAGACACGGAAATGTCACTGTGAGAGGACTAGGCCAGCCCCAGCACATGGCAGAGGGGGCAGCACCCTCCCTGGGTACAGGTCACCATGACAGGACCAGGCCAGCCCCAGCACGTGGCAGCAGGGGTAGCACCCTCCCACCTGGGTATAGAGGTTGAAGAGAAGGAAAACAAGGGTGCTATGTGATGCTGCCAGAAGTTTCTGGAAAATAAAATGGTTCCCTGGTCACAGAAGCTGTCCTTCATAGGCAGGGATATCCCAGAACCAAGTCATTGAGCACCTTGTGATTAAAACAAAATACAAAACTTAAAAAACCCTGTATACCACTTAGAAAGAAAGAAAGAGAATTCTGTTTCACTATCTGATAACTAAAATAAAGTAAAATTCAGATTCTTTATGGTACCCCTAAAGCCACATTTGCCAGGTTTAAGGTCATGTTCCATAATATCAATCTAGCTGACTGCAGCCAGCACGTCTTGTAAAGGAGTTAGGCTAGGAAAGATCTGCACATGTCATGCGTGCCAAGGGGAAGAACCATGTCCTGAAACTTGTTTCACATACATATGTGTGCATGAACTTGGATTGTGCTGAGAAATGTATCTCTTGCAGTGAGTCATGGTCAAAAATTCTGGAAGCCCAGCAGCCTAATCAAGTCCACAGTAACCTTCCCAATGTCCCCGCCCCACAGCGTCCAGGCATCACCACTGCTGTCCCTTCGGCCACATGCACCTCCCAGACCTTCACCTGGCTCCCTTCTCCTCCTCCTCACACCCACCTGGACCCAAGGCTCAGCTAGACGGGACATCGTCCAAGAGACATCCTACCTACAGCAGGCACCTTTCATTCCATCACCTGGTCTCCTGTTCTCCATTGCGCTCACGTGGCATTATATTACTTACGGATTCTGCCCACCCCCCGCCCCCCACCATTAGAACTCAAGCTCTATGAGGACAGCTGTCTCCCAAGCAACTCCTGAAATGCTGGCACATAGCAGGGACTCTGCAAGTATTTGCTTAAGGAAGGAATAAAAACGCTAAGGACTGAGTTTAGATGGTTGTAAACTCCAGAAGCAGTCTACATGAGAAGTTGTTATGAAATGATGTACAGCTGACCCTCTGGTCAGTTTTCACAGGCTGCGACCTGCACAGGTAAGCAGCTTGTTGGCCTATGTTACCCTGATGACACAACCTTACAGCAGACAGGAAATCAAAATATGAATTGCATTAGGTAAATCTGCAGTCAGGGACCTCTTCAGAGTGCTGAAGAGCAAGGATGTCAGTCTAGAGGCTAAGGTGCACCTGAGCCAGGCCATGGCCTTTGCAATTACTTGCTATGCATCAGTGAGTTAGACAGTGACTAGAGATGACAGAAGAACTGATACCTTTGAGTTGTGGTGCTGGAGCAGAGTACTGAACACGCCATGGACTACCAAGAGAACAAGCAGGCCTGTCCCAGAAAGGGTGAAACTAAGCTGTTCCATGGAGGCAAGGACTTTGAGACTCCAACTCAGATATTTTGGGCATGTAGCCAGGACAGACCAATCTCTGGGGAAGGATGTCATGCTTGGAAGGGTTGAGGGACACTGCAAGAGTTGAATTTCCTAGATGAGAAGGACTGACATAGTAACTGGGATAATGAGGGTAGGAGTATCAGAGAGAGTGAGACTGGCTCAGGATAGGGCAGGGTTGCCAAGAATCGTGGTGGACTTGACAGCACATAACATCAACAATAAACTGGAGATGTCCTTTCTCACATCAATAGGCTGGTAGATTCGAACTGTATGCCACTGGGCTGGCAGTGCAACTCTTTATGACTAGGCCACCAGTGCTCCCTGCACATGGGCAGAGGGATGAACAATTAAAATTTTACAACCGGAGTCTCACAGATTCAGGAAGAGGAGGAGGCTCTAAGAGCACCTGCAGGAGTACCAATCAGGGTAGACTGCATGGAGGAGGCAAAATGTGGGTTAAAGATTAGAGACGAGTAAGAAAGGATCTTGGACGCAGGAGTGGCATCCACTTCCTAAATAACATGCCTCCGGAAACTCTATGAACTTTGATAAATGTTGATAGTTGTAGAGGGGCTTCAGGCTTTCTGTTCATAGGGTCGCTATGAGTCGTGCTCAACTTGAAGGCAATCAACAACATAAAGAAAGGATCAGTCAAGGTGAGGAACAGAGCAGAAGAATGGCGTACTGGGCAGGAAGGTGAGTAAGAGGAAAGACTCAGCTCTGAAGAGAATTCAGGGAATTCAGTCTGACTGCAGGTGGGGTGACAGCAGGGGTAGTTCAGTGAAGGGATCCTCACCATCCACGAGACCTGGGTTTGATTCCCAGCCAATGCACCTCACCCACAGGCACCAGCAAAGGCTTGTCTGTTGCTAGGATGTGGTTTCAGCGGACTAAGAGAGACTAGGAAGAAACGGCTGACAATCTACTTCTGAACATCAACCCTGTGAATCACAATGGTCCAGTCCACAAATGGTGAGGGGGATGGGAGCACGGGGCAGCACTTCATCCCATCAGCACGGAGTGGCTATGAGTTGGGGGGCTGATTCAGCAGCTGCTAACGCCAGCAACAGGAGGTGCGGGTGGCTGGATCGAAGTAAGGGGAGGTCAGGATGGACCACACAGGTCCTCTGAAGCGACAATGAGACGGACCTGACACTGAGGCCACCTGCTCTCTGTCCTTCATGGACAGGTGCTCCTCTTCTGACTCCCCAGAGCTGCTGGGCTTCCTCGGTCATCCCCAGGTCCCTAACTGGCTGTAGGACGTGGACTCATGAGGCCTGACACCCGCTGAACACGGCACAGGAGTCTCTGCTGGGTCAGACCCTGAGGGAGGCCCTTCACTAAATAATCCTGCAGCCGCTGAGGCGGCTCTAACTCTCCAGACTAGAATGGGACAAAGAGAAGCTGCCTCATGGCGTTTCCCAGGCCGTAAAGCCTCATGAACGCAGACCACCACGTCCTTCTCCCCGGGAGCAGCTGGTGGGTCCAAAGCTGGTGCGAAGTGAAGCACTTAACCACGGCCCCACTAAGGCTCCTCCGAAGGAAGGCAGGTCAGTGAGAAGTAAGGCTGGTCAGAGCCACCCCCGGGGTCCCCCGCTCGCCCAGAGAGCACAGGGCAGGGCCATCTGGGGCCCAGCTTTCCCCGTGGCCTGGAACACAGTGCTGTGTTTTCTTTGGTTGAGCAACAGATGGAGCAAAAACAGTTTGGGAGACGAGGCCAAGTTGCACGAACAGCACCAACTGTGTCTTTATAAGCTGGAACCCCTGCAGGGCAAGGGCGCCCCACCCCGTGCTGCCCTCACTCGACCCTGGGGCACCCAGTGAGTGCCAAGGATGGGCTCAGGCACCACCCAGTTCCCTGACACCGTGGCCCTGCCGAGAAGAGAGGGATTCAGGCCGCAGGGAGCCCTTAGGGAGAGGGAAGGTGGAAATGGGATTCTAAGTAAGAGAATGAAATGCTACTGGTGCCACGTGGTATTAATAATACTCACAATGGGCACTCGGTGAAGGCCAGATGTTTAGATATCTCCTCCCCTATTTCTCACATCCAGCCTGCGAGCTGAGCGCTCTTTCTTACTCCACTGCACAGGGGTGACTGGCCATCATCACGGAGACTGCAAACGCTGTTACGTGGCACTGAGTCAGAAATGACTCATCGCTGACCCTCGCAGAGTTTTCAGGGGCAGTAAATCTCATGAGCAGGACAGTCTTTCTCCTGAGGAGCAGTCAGGGGATTCGAACTGCATGCCTTTGGGTTGGCAACGTCACCCCGTACCCACTAGGCCACAAGACCCACACAGAACTGCACACAGGAGAGTCAGACTTGAGTCCTCGCTCCCAACTTCCACCTGGGACTTCCCTCACTAAGACTTCGTGGTCTGGAAATACCTTGTTAAACTATCAACCCCCAGCGCTGCTCAGACAAGAGCACTGGAGATTCAGGGGTAGAATTCTCGCCTCCTACACGAGAGACACAGGTTCAATTCCTGGCTAATGCGCTTAAAGCTGTGTTAGGGAGCTCTGGTGGTCTGGGAGTGAGGAGCTGCACAGTCAACTCGAAGGCACACAGTTCAAATCCACCATCTGCTCCACAGGACCAAGATGGGCAGTCTCCTCCCATGTGATTTACAGCCTCTGAAAACCCACTGGAGGGTCAGCTGTGGGTCGGTGCTGATTCGACAGTACACAACAGTGCTGTCCTGAGTGGGGTATAACAGACTGTCATTTTTATGGGTTTTTTTTTTCTCTGTTCTAAGTTTTCTACAGGAAGCATGATTTTTTAACTCTTAGTAAAAAGAAAAAACTTGATTTCACAAAACACTTTTTTTTAAAAAGAAATGGACTCAATCCCAAAGTTCAAATCCACCAGATGCTCTGCTGGAGAAGGAGGGGCAATCTCCTCCTGTGCCAGTTGGATCCGATTTAACAGTATACAAGAATAAAAGAAAAAAAAGAAGAAATGGGATGGGGTTAACAGCAGACACAGGAAATGAGACTGAAGGGGGGGCAGGGGACGGTGAGGCCACCCCTCCTCAGAACCTATGGTACAGTGAAGTCCAGTCTAAGCTGTTCAGCATTTCTGCTGTGTGACCTTGGACCTCTTGCTTCCCCTCTCTGGGCCTTTCCTTTCTGTAGAATGAGAGGCCCAGGCACCCCCGGAGAGATCCCTGCATCTATGGGCTCTGGTCCGACAGTCAGCAGTCGGTCCCCTTGTGACCTGGTGCAGGGCTGAGAGGTGACCCTGGAGCCCCTAGCCTGGCAGCTCTCAGATCTGAAGGTGAGTCACATCAGGGGAAACCAGCCCCCCAGGGACACTGCCGGATGGAGGATAAAACGTGGGGAAGTGTCTGCAAACAGGAAGTGGGGCTAAGTGAAGGGAGGTGAACTCAGAGACAGCGGAACTCAGGCTCAGCCTGCCTGCCCGCTTCTGACATTATCTCCTCTCTTACTGCTCTCTGCGGGTTTTTATTAGGATGATTGTGGTGAAAATATACATAACAAAACCTACGCCAGCCCAAATGTCTCTACAGATACAACGTGGTGACTGGCTTCAAGTCGAGCAACTCTTCTTCTCACCATTCTCGTCCCAATCATTTCCCGTGACCAACTTAACCTCAGTGCAGCTTCTCCGTTGATTGTCTAGGTCTGCTGCCTGCACCCGAGAAGCCTCCGAGCACCACACGGGTGCACCTGCTCACAGCCCTATCTGGGGTTCAGCACCCAAACAAGGTGCTGTTCCGTGCCGCTGAGCAGGAACCGCGTCATCGCTAACCTTCCAGTGCGTTTTCAGAGCCAGTGAACCGCAGGGGAGACTGCCCACCACGCTCCCCGCAGAGCAGCTGGTGGATTTGAACTTGGCAGCGCAACTCCTTATAACTAACCACCAGCGCTCCAAACAAGGCAGACACTCAAGAAACATCGGCATGAACGAATCAACGATGAAGTGATGAATGGTGAGCTGTCTCCCCAGATCTGCAGCTCAGAAGAGGAGTGGTCTCCACCTCCCAGCACAGGGCCCCCCCTCCCCGCAGGGCCGGGCGTGGCTCACCTGGGCCAGGGCTGGAGAAGTGGTTGTAATACTGTGACACGTAGGTCATGATGCTCAGGCAGTCGGGGACGCTCATGGAGACCATGTCATTGGGGTCCAGGAGGGCAGGGATCCCCAGCTCCTTCTCAGCCACCTCAAAGGCCTGGTCAGGGAAGGTGAAGGCGTGGATGGTGCAGGAACAGACAGCAGGAAGAGGAGATAGCAGTGTGGTGGGCGCCCCCCAAGCTAGACCCAGCTTCCGTCGGAGGAATGAGGGTACACATGGACTCTCTCAGCTCTAGTCCACCCTTGAGGCTACACAGTGACCTGGGCAGGGGGCAGCGGGGTGTAGGCGAAGGGCAATGGGGCTTTGGGAATTGTGGTCTGCAGGCAAGGGCAGCTCTTGGGGGTGCTGGGGTCTATGAGCCCCTGCCTCAGCTCCAGCCCAGCACGCACATGTCATGTACACACACACACACACACACACACACACACACACA